GCTTTCCGTGTATGACTAGATAACAGATTTCTTTATTCTTCTTTCATCTTTTTCCAATTGAGGTTTTCTTCTAACCTTTTTTTCTTATTCGCACTCACCATCCGGAACCTAGCCATTCTGCAATAAGGCACGATGTTTCGTTCCTTTCTTCAAGATTTTATAGATACCTGTTCTTGGAATATGCATTGGTAATTATATTGTCCATTGGCGAAAAAGATTTATATTTTTTAACCTTATAAAAGTGAAATTATTTGTCTTTGCGGACCATAATTGTTTATTGGGTGTTTCTAACATGAGTGAAATTCACGCCCCCTTTATTTTATTAACAACTTTTTTTTGTGGTTGTAGTTATTGATTTTATTTCTTTTGAAAAAATGGTGTGTTGTTTTACGTTTCCCTTTTTAAAAAAAAATTATTTTAATGTTGAGCTATAGTTGCTATTGGTAATGGAATTGAATTGTTTATTGGTGTTATTTGTATTTTATTTCACAACAAGAATGTGAATTTTGGTTATTAATTAGTGGAAACTATTAAAGAGAAAAATCAATGAAGATATATGTATATATAGGGAGTATGAAAATTTCTTATACATATCCATTAACAACTTCTTTTTTTGTATTTTTAAATTTTTAAAATATCTAAACACTAATTAAATGATTTATGTGAATCCAATATCATTTAAAAGATTTTAGACATTTGTCGCTGATTATTCCATGTTTCTTTTTAATTGCGAAGTTTGTTGTCCTTCTATGTTAATGTTCTTCACAGGTCACAACTAGGGGTATAAATGGGTCTAGTTAAGCCAAACTTCGACTTTGATAGCCTAAATTCATGTAAAATATTTGAAACCTATACTGACCTATTAGCTTATTAAATACTTGATTTATGGTCTGTCATGTTATAAAAAAATTAAAAAAATCGAATACGACTTGAAAGACCTACCAAGTTGCAAACTAAAGTATGTAGGCGCAAATCAAATTAAAATAGAAAAATAAAAAATTTATTCATAAAGACCACATGAAATAAGCTTTCATTAACATCACATGAAATAATATTATTAAAGATCACATGAAAATGTTCATAAAAATCACATGAAAATTTCATATATGTATATATAATTTGCACTTTCATATTATATTCTAAATTTTAAATAAATAACTAGTATTTGTTAAAATAACATCGATCCTATTACTTTGAAAATTTTAACTAATTTTTTTTCTTAATAGATTTATGTAATTGTGAATTTTTTTTTATAATTTGTTATGTCAAATTTTTTGGCCCCGACTAAAATTAAATCCTGACTCCACCACTGTTCATATCAAGCAGATACACAGTGAATGAATAATTAGCTATGTCAATTAGAAGTCAAGTTATAAAGAATATCATTGGGAATCCTAGCGTAATTAGTTTTACCTTTGACCAAATCACGAAAGTGGAGAATAGTTGAGCCGTGTACACCGACCCGAACATCACAATAACAAATTACAAGCGATGCATTTTTTTTTTTTTTTTTTGAGTTACCCAACCCTAATTATCTCTTTGAGACGAGTTGGCTCCCTCCGGTATCCCCACGAGCTTCGACTCTTTGAGCCAGCTATGGGACTAATCCGGAGTGCGGGGGAACAGTGATGGCTAAAGGTTCAGCCCCCTCCCCAAGAATGCATTCAGCGGGAATCGAACACATACCAATCCAACTAACTCAGCGCCAAATTACCAACTGAGCTGCACCCAAGCGATGCATTTCTAATATTGATTAAACTAATTATGTATATTTCTGTGATAATTTTAAATATTTTTATCTTCAATATTTTTTTAAACTTATTTTTAAACTTTACTTAAATTTTGAAATGTCTATGTAATGTATGGAATATTTGTTACTAATGTAATAAAATTCAAAAAGATACATAAGAGATACATATTTGTCAAGTAAAAGAAAAAATTATAAGAGTCCTTGTAATGATATTATCTTAGTTTCTTCTAATCAAATTCTATCTTTTATTTTAATACCATTAATGACCTTAATTAATCGTATTTATTTATTAAAATCTTTAGGTTAAATTATATGACGTTATTGGTTCAGAAGCTTATTAATTTATATAAAAATAAATAAATCAATAGCATCATTTTACTTTATTTTTCATTTATAAAATTTTATTTTTTAATTTTGTTAGCATTACTTATCATCACATTGACATGTGCTTATTAATTTTTTATAAAAAATGCAGAATTGATTTTTATTTTTTATTTTTAGTTGATAATAAAGCTAATGTACAATTGATTGAATTTTTGACATTACGTCTAGAGCACTTTGTTCGGATTTAACCTAGCGAATACTTCAGTAACACCAATGTCATTATAACCATCCTTATCTTGACTTATAATTTGAACTACCCAGTATTTTTAGCTAAAGATTAGGTACATTTTTCACCATAATTGTTTCGTTTTGCAACAAACCAATGCCAATACGGTCAACTAGACATATGATTGATTCCTACAACCGATCCAACTGATATAACCCAAACTAATTGCACAAAAATGCAATCTTGTTCGCTATTGGATAATATACATGACTAAAGTTCTATGCTAAAATTAGATTATTTTAAAACTTATTTTAGAGCTATAAATCATATCCTAATCATACCTGATTCACTTATGAGTAAATAGTTATCGCTTTGCAAGAAAACCATAGCTGTGGTGGTCTATCTGTCATTTTGTTTCATGCCAAATCTTAATTATCAGTATTTGCTTTACTCGTGACTTTCTTTGACCAGGTTTATTTCATAGATGGATATTCAATATATCCCAATATTAATTTGAAATCTAGCAAGTATTATCAGCCAAACTGTTTCTTCAAATTTGGTTAAGAAGAAAAATGTCAAGCTTTATATTTTCTGTGTGTAAATGAGTATATATTTGTTAACTGTTCAAAGACTAATAATGCCGTTGACTTTTCAAATTTTTGAAGAATAATGTGACACATCTTTTAATGTAGCATATATGAAAGAAACAGGGACACTGAGACACTTAACGCACCACATTAGTTATTTTGTTAATTGAAAAAAAAAAATTACTTAACGGTTGGACTTATGGAATAATTTGTAAAGCACTGCATAATCAATTTGGTGACTTTTACGAACTAATGTCTCGAGTAAACCGATTTGGTGATTTTTACTCTTCACTCACTCTATCTTTTTCACAGGTAGCAAGTCCTTTTGACGCCTTTCCATAGTTACATTTTTCCCATTTTCGTTTCGTAACCGTAACTAAGAAATTATATGCGAGAGCGAAATTCTGCAACCACATGAAACACACTTAAGAGTATTAAAGAGGAACCAATTTTTTTGATGGGACTGCAAATAAGTGTAATAAAGCTAAGCTAGAGAAAGAATTTATGCCTAACGTATTCATCCATCAATGTATTTAACTATTTATGTCATTGCAACCGTTGGCAGTACCCACGTATAATTTAAGTAACCACTTTATTTTTTTTGAACTTTTGCCTTTTTTCCCTTTTAATCTTAATACATATGGAAATGATTGTTATCAGATAATTAGATTTTATACAGACATAAATCAAAACGTTATGATATATATATAATAAATGATTATATCAGTTTGAAAACCAATGAACTGCGGGTTTATGAGGGGAAATATCTATCTGCTGTACAATTCATTCAGTATATCTATCCAATAAAAAATGAGTAATATCTGTCATGCTTGTATGAAAAAGAAAAAAAAATATTTTTTTTATTCAAGTGTCATTTGTTGAATGACAAATATATCTACTACATATGTACAGAAAATGATCTCTTTATAAGGAATTTGTGTTAAATTAATCAGTGTAAAACTGCAAATAATGAGAATGATATACATTTATTTCACATCTTAATCCTCATGAAACACACTTTGTTTCGTCACCTCTTCTTGATAATGATTTTAAAGCTAATTTATTAGAATAATATAAATAGACTATTAGCTTAAAAGTTGAGCTGAAAAAAAATAAAATTTTAGTCGAAGATTAATTGGTTCATTAATTTTGTGATACGTGAACAAAAAATATCATATTATTTCTCGTTCATTTTATGATACGTAGACAAAAAAAATATCATATCATCTATTTTTTTTTGGGTGATGCGAATTTTTTTCCACGTTGTCATAAAATAAATGTGCAAATGTATTGAATTAGGTGCATCTGCATTGAAGATTTCTCCCCCGAAAAAGCATCATATCCTACTCCCGCTTTTTCTGGAATACAAGGATAAACTAAAGAAAAGAAACTCCTTAAAAAAAGCAATAACAAACAGAAACGGACTAATCAGTAAGAATTTTGCTCCAGCAAATAAACAGGGGAAGAATGTATAATAGTAACTACACTTGAGCCAACTTGGAATACCAAATTTAGCTAGAGAATCCGCTGGTTAGTTAGTCCGAGTCAGCATCCAAGAAACTTGCCATGCACTCCATATTTAGAGTATGCACTATATTTTCACAGAACAGTTTCGTAGTGATGGAATGGATCGTAAACACCTCACACCAGAGTGTGAGTCAAAACCAACTTGGACAACCAATTGCTAAACGACCGTTTGATAAATTATAAATTCTAGATTAACGCCAGCTTAATTTACTTTATGGTTTGATGATAATGAAGTATAATTTAGTTAGAAGAAAGATCATCATAGACATATTTCGGTAAGATAGGGATGGCGAACGAGCATCTTGAGCCGTTCGAATCAAATCAACGGCTGATGATATAATTTTGATCATCCACGTGTATCAGCACCTAATCGGTTGCTTTAGTTATTGTTAACGGGTCGTCTTCTTATTCTTCTTGAAAGAAAAGAAAGAACTTGATCTGCTGTGTTGCACACGGAAGTTAGAAAGAAACGGCGTCGTCGTTTCGAATGCACTTCTTCTTCTTCTTCTTCCATGCGATCAATAGCAACAATAAATACACATAACGCCACGTTGAAAATTTGCTGTCTAAAGTGCACGACGTAACAATGTCTGTGTCAATGAAGAGAAAGAAGCATCATGCACACACAGAGAAATCCAGAATTATTGGACTTCTCGTCGCGCGTTTCCTTCGCCATCGGCTCCTCCACCGCCCTCTCATCTCCGCCGTCTCCGGTTCCCTTCTCCTGCTCTTCGCCGCGCTGTCTCTGTTTGCTCCGTCACCTGTAAATTAAATGCACTATAAATTCAGTTCCATTTCATTAGTATTTTATTTCATTTATTTATATCAATCTTTGTTTCTTCTCTGTGCTGCGCTGCTAGGTGGAGCGCGTGAATGGACCAGCATTGAATTCAAATCAGGATTCAGCGTTTCGAGTTCCGGTAAGCAATTCAATGAAATGTCACTCTGCTTCTGCGTTTTTATTTTACTTATGTTTTTATTTGTTGGACTTTAAAGGCGATTGGAGGTAGTTGCGGGCGTGATTTATGGAGTTCAATGCACTCAGAGCTTTTCTCTGGCTGCAGTAACGCCAGTGTCAACTTTGCAAGTAAAGTGAATAGCAATCTTTTTTTTCGCTTTTCACAACCAATTTATGAAAATTTAGACTCCTGTTTTTTGTTATTCAATTTAGGAATTTTAATTAAATCAAATGGTAAATCGTATATTGATTCGCTTTTACTTGATCTGCAGTTTGATTCCTTATGTACGTATTTCTTGCAGAGGCTAATGTCAAAACACATCCAGATCGATACTTGTTGATCGCCACCAGTGGAGGCTTAAATCAACAGAGAACAGGGGTAAGCTTCTTCATAAACTATGGCATTGGTTTAGTATTAGATGCAACACTTACAATCAAATTTGAGTAGTTCTTTCCGTAAGGAAACATAATTGTATTGAAAGTACTGTAAGCATACTGTTTCTTTATTAATGATGGTACCTAAAATATCATTTGCTATAAAAACAAGGAAAGGCCCTATGGTTATTTGCAAAAGTAACGGTTAAAATTCTTGTAATGAAGATTTGATATACTGGTTTTTGGCTGGCAAAAACTCAATTAGGAAACAATTGATGAGTGATTAGAGACTCAAATTTGAGTCATGTGAGTGCTAAATTATGTAGTTGGACAATTTATGTAGTTGAAGTGCTGATTGTGACTGCAGATAATCGATGCTGTTGTCGCTGCATATCTTTTGAATGCTACTCTTGTTGTTCCAGAGTTGGATCATACATCTTTCTGGAAAGACACCAGGTCCGTCTTTACACATTTTACTTCTATTAGACATCTCTTATTGGAAGCAAATTTCATCGTCTTTTCACTTCTTAATCAGTAAGTAACATATGCTATTTTTTGCAGCCACTTTTCCGAACTATTTGATGCAGACTGGTTTATAACATCTCTCCAGAATGACGTAAGAATTATAAAACAGCTTCCAGATATGGGAGAGAAATTTGTGGCTCCATATACAATGCGTGTTCCAAGGAAATGCACCCCCAAGTGTTATGAGGATCGAGTTTTACCCGTGATGCTCAAGAAGCGTGTAAGTGTTAAAATCCTCAATTGGAGTTGTAGGCTTTCATCAAAATTATTTGCATTCCTTCCACCAATTAACACCTTGAGTATTAATGTGTTATTGCGGTGTTAATTATTTTTTGGTACATTAAAGTTTAAAAGAAGAAACATTATTTATTTCATTCTAAGGTCAACGTATACGACAGGATTTAACTAAAATTTTATTATCTACTGAGACTGTTTTGTGGGGCCTGCTTGTTTGTACCGGTTGAGCCATCCTCCATAGTAAAATAGTTAATTATAATTGTTAACTTCTAGTTAACGGAATAAGTACGTTATGGTATTGTCCTTTATCCCATTAATGACTCATAAATTTCTTGATGCAGGCTGTTCGGCTCACTAAGTTTGACTACAGACTTTCTAATATGTTGGATGAAGATCTACAAAGGCTGAGGTGCAGAGTTAACTACCATGCTCTCAAATTTACGGATTCCATTCAAGTAATGGGTAACTTGTTGGTTGAGCGGATGAGATTGAAAAGCAAGCATTTCATTGCTTTACATTTGAGGTAAGATTTGATAATTATAGCCAAGCTCTGTCTCTGGTTCTTTTGCTTTGGCATTAGTTCCTCAAAAAAGAATGCAATATGCATCAATGAGCAGCATATCACCGTCAGAATTTGCGATCAGCTTCTTTTGTAAAGGAAAACTTGCATATTTGTAGTTGAGACGCACAGTTCTGGGCCGACTTCGATTTCATTTTTCTTTCTTAAGTTCAATGTGATGATTTGTTGATTCAAACTGATGTTTTATCCCATAGGTTTGAACCGGATATGCTTGCATTCTCTGGTTGCTATTATGGCGGGGGAAACAAAGAAAGAATAGAACTTGGTGAAATCAGGAAGCGGTGGAAAAGTTTACATGTAAGGTTTTACTAGCATCTAAGAAATCAACTTCAAATCATTTTAGCCTGTATAAAAATTGATTATATTCTTATTTGGAAATGGGACACAGGTAAGCAATCCTGACAAAGTTCGAAGGCATGGAAGATGCCCGCTTACCCCAGAGGAAGTTGGTATTATGCTTAGAGCACTAGGTTTTGGAAGTGACGTGCATTTGTACGTGGCATCTGGCGAAATATATGGAGGTGAGGAAACGTTAGCACCCCTCAAGGCACTTTTCCCAAACTTCCATTCAAAGGAGACCTTAGCTACCAAGGAGGAGTTGGCACCATTTGTATCATTTTCTTCTCGCATGGCTGCACTTGATTATATAGTTTGTGATGACAGTGACGTTTTTGTCACAAACAACAATGGTAACATGGCCAAAATTTTAGCTGGAAGAAGGTAAGCTGTTTCTTTAGTGCGATGCTTAAGTTTATAATGGATAAAATATTAGCTGGAAGTAGGAAAGCTGCATCATTGGAGCAAAAGCAACTCAAATGATGATTTGAACTACCAACTTCAAACGATCTTCTTAAGCCTGATAGCAACTATTTCACTGAGTTCAGCCTAAACTAACACTTAAGAGAATTAAATCCCAGAAGTTGAGTATCCAATGCGATTATGAGGGAAGAATCAAGAGATTGGATATAAATAGGAATTATTCTGTAAGCATACACACACATACATAGTGTGTGTTCACATTTAACAAACAGAAGTCTTATATTTTTAGATTCTATGTAAAAACATAAGATAGTCATTAAAAAAGATCAACACTGACTTTGGAATTCATTTGCATTCACATGATCACATCTAAACATCAACATAATGAAGTATAAAACTTGGATTTTGACCATGATCTATGACAGTAAAGCAATGATCTACACAAACCCAATTTATGTCTCGTCTTTTCCTTCCTTTTACAAAACCCTTCTTCATGGTAACAACTATAGTGAAAGCATTACCATTTTCATTGTGTGCAACTTCCATCAAATTAGACAGTACTGATTGATACTTGAGAAACTAACTTCTCGTATTAATCAACAAGTCTTTTATTAGATTGAATATAAGTTTATAAAATACATTTCTCACGAGTAAGATGAATTATTTTTCTATCGTCTAGTAGCTAGTGTCATCTTTTTTATTCTAAGTAGTTGGTTTCATATTTCAACATTTCTGTGTGCTGATAAAATCAGGTTTTTGCCTACGCGTACTAATACTTTCTCTGTTGCAGGAGGTACTTCGGTCATAAACCCACCATCCGCCCAAACGGAAAAAAGTTGAACCGGTTGTTCATGAATAAAAATAATATGACGTGGGAAGAATTTGCCTCTCGAGTTCGAACTTCCCAGGTAGGCTTCATGGGAGAGCCAAATGAGTTGAAGCCTGGCAGAGGTGAATTTCACGAGAATCCAACATCTTGCATATGTCAAAACTCAGAGTCGGAGGTAAAAATTGAGGTCCTTTCCAATCCCCAAATTCAAACTCGTGACAGCCATGAAGGTGATAGTAAGACAGAAAACAGGACGGAAGAGCAGTTTACCGAGGAAGAGCAGGAGTGGTCCGATGTAGATTATTCAAACAGTAGAAATCAGATTCAGCTCAAAGGAACTAGAACGGATTCACTCCCTCTTCAAATGGGAACGGACCAAGCTGAATTGCAAGAATTCTTCTCAGATTAGACAGTGAAGTTCCAATTCATCAATTAATGTCTGCTTCCGCCAGTAGAAACTTCAAACCTTTGTACATAGATTATTCAGATTGGTATTGAAAATCATGCCTTTGTACATAGATTATTTAGATTTTGATGGAGAGCTGCTTCAAAATGCAGAATTAGCAAATTGTATAGACCATTATGCTAGTGAAATTTGGAAATTCTACTGCCCCTTCCTTTACCTGTTTCCTATAGGGAGTGTTTGGTAGATGGTTTTTTTTTAGATTTCCCAACAATTGATATTGAAAATCTCATTTATCCACATTAGGTTTGTAAAAAATTTTCAAAAAATCTAATTTGCAGAGGATTTTGATTTGTTAACAAATTGTAAGTCAAAATGCCATCCTAGAATACCACCAACTGATTCCCGGAACATGTGAAAATATCACATGAAAAATCTGACAAAATTAACCCTGTTATCTTCCACCATTCTACCATAATCTCGTCCATAACCAGAAACCCATCCACCATCAGGAACCAAAACAACATCTTGTTCCCCATCTATCTTCCTCTCTTTTGTACTATGCCATTTGTGCTTCACCCTCCTTGATGAGGAACCCATATTTGCCTGAACCAAAGGAAATCTCAAAACATTCGATTCGCGCAAATTCATATCGGCAGAAGAATTTATAGAAGACCCATCTAAATTGAAGTGAAAACAATGTTGAAAACAGAAAATTAGGAAATCCAACGTTTTAATGAAGCACCTGAATAAAATAAAATAAAATAAACTTTCAATAGTGAAAAGAACCCCTTTTCCTTTTCAATGGTTGCTCTGCAACCTTTGGCAGAAAACACACACACAGAGAAAAACGAGTTGTTCCATCTACTCCTGAGACCTGAAGATGAGGCAGCGTCTTAAACCTTATTATGGAGGTTGAAGAAAACACAGCTAACAAACTTCTTTGACCAGATTGGTACCTTTTTAGTTTAAATATACGAATTTGGTATCTGAACGGTAGAAATTATAATATGGGGTTTAAATATACGAATTTGATATTTGAACGGGAGAAATTACAGCATGGGGTTGTTAAGTGCCGGAAGGGGCCCTAGCGTATCTAAATGACGCTACCCAGTCCTTACGGCACTCTTGTGATTAATTTTTTTTTTTTGTTTCCGGCACTCTTGTGATTAATTTTTTTTGTTAAGTGCCGCCCCCAGTTACCCACAATACTCAATGACGCCTCCCACTCCCAGCATCACTCTTGTCATTTAATTTTTTTTCTTTTCGACGGTAAATTCCAACATCAGAGTTTTGAATCGTGTGACAAAATATCTCGTAGAACAATCATATCTGGGAAAACATTTTCTTCTTTTAAAAGAGAAATTTTTTTTCATGTTAGTAACTCAAAGCATATGTGGGTCTCACCTTTAATTTTTTTCTCTTTCCACTATTTTGTGGGACCCACTTATACAATGTGTCACTAACATTAGAAAAATTTTCTCCTTTAAAATGAGAAAATGTTTCCTCATCTTATATATAGAAAGTCTTCAGTAAATAAGTATTTTTTGTCAAGGCATTTAATATTTTTAATATTTTATTCTTTATTAACATACCGATTTTTATTTAATTATGAGATTACTATGGACACCGTTTTTCTATAACCTATATATCTTCGTTTCAGTAATTTTCAAGGCTGACATCTCACAGGACATATGAAAACCCATGTTCTCGAACAAAAATTATGGTATTTTTATTAATTACTACTTTTATTTTCTTACTGAACACTTCAATAACTGTAAGATAATTTGATATTATGACAGTAAATATTAGAATCTTAAATTAAATATTTTATTTAACTCAAACCTTGACGGAGAGGGTTATATTTAAAAAAAATTTGTTTACAAATTTTTTATTTATAAATTTTTTGTTTATGAACTTTTACAAACTACACTATGTTCTTCCAGAAAACACTTATAATTTGTAAAAATTTATAAACGGATCTTTTTCCAACCTTGACAACTTTAAGAATTATACAAAATATCGTACATTTGTACAGTTTGAAATACTAGTATATGAAACACCTCATTAATTTTAACTTTTTAAGTGTAAAAACTAAATCAAGGATTGAAAAAGCTCTTTATGTTTTGTAAAAACTTTTTAATTTTTAATTTTTTTTCATTATAAAAAAAGCTCTTTTTAAGATAATTTTTTTTGCAAAATTATGTTTTGTTAAACTTTTGTTTATAAGGAGAAGAAAACTAAAAATAAGAGCTCACAATCAAACAACTTAATGTATCCGTGATTATATTTTGTGAGAAACAATTAAGAAGAAAAATAGATAAAGCAATTAATTTTCAGATTCAAACTCAAGAGTAACATGTCAAAGTGAGAAACATCAAAGGAAAATCCCAAACCCGCAATACCTGTGATTATATTTTGTGACAGAGACTTTAGGGTTTTCAAGTCAAAAACCTGTTTCCTCTAAACCCAAATTCGAAGTGATAGAGGCCTCGTCTGCTGGTGGTTGACGGCGAAGGTGGCTCCGATGAACGAACGGCGGCAGAATGAATGAGTTACCTGACAATGTTGTCCCTCTCAACGCCCTTGACCTCTTTTACTTTTTCCCACTCACTACACAATGCAGCCTGTGAATAATTCCCCCGCTCTTCCTTTCCCCTTGTTTTTTCTCCCCTAAATTCAGCGTCGCTTTCAGTTCCAGTGTCTTCTTCCACTTTGCAACTGACCCCTTTTACTTTTTGATTCGCAGAAGTTCAAAAAAGTTTTTTTTTATCTAATTGGTGCCGAAGGTGAGACTGGGTGGCACTTCTCAATATAATTTTTTTTTTTAATTAGTGCAGTAAGGGGTGTAGTGCTGTACTTGTTTGATTTAAAATCAAAATTTTTATTGAGTCTTGTGGGGGACAGGGTGCGGCATTATGCCCGAAAAAAAATTAAATGACAAGAGTGCCGCTGGGAGTGGGGGCGTCATTGAGTCTCGTGGGGTACCGGGGGAGGCACTCATTCCGGAAACAAAAAAAAAATCACAAGAGTGCCGCAGGGACTGGGTAGCGTCATTTAGATACGCTAGGGTTCCCTCCCGGCACTTAACGACCCCATACTGTAGTTTCTCTTGTTCAGATACCAAATTCGTATATTTAAACTCAAAAGATACCAATCTAGTCAAATAACCAACAAACCTATGTAGAAAGTCGTGCTTGAACGAAAGTGGGTGTAGAAAATCCAACGAACAGATAAATCGTGCCTGAAGAAAAGATTGATGGTTGGGTTATTTTTATTAAATCAACTCATATGAGAATATTTTGCTATTAACTAAATATAGAATTAATATATTTGAGTTAATATTTTTAATAATATTATTTTTTTTTTGGTATGCTGAGAAGAAATTAAGCAGAAAAAACTACAAAACAGAAATTGTTCTAGCACTACAAACAAAAGCTAAATCAGCAATAAAAATAGACTGAATCTGAAAAGGAGGAAAACAGAAGACAGACATATCAGGAGCAGTAGGATTGTCCAGTGGATAATTTGACAGTCAATCAGCACAATAATTTTCTTCTCTATATGTGTGAACAAGACGAATCCTATTTTTGAAACCAAGCCCGTATTCGAGCCACCAAATGGGGTTCACGGGCTGCAACCTCCTTTCTAGAAAGAATGGTGATTGCAGTTGTTGAATCAGACTCAACAATTAAGTTCTTCCAGCCTTCCACCCAAGCCATCCCCAAACCTTTGAGAATGCCCCATAGTTCAGGATTGAGAGCATTGCAGTTACCTATCCTGTGGGAGAAACCTTTAAGTCAGTGACCCGCTTCATCTCTAGCAATTCCACCACAAGCAACTAGTCCTTGAGAACTTCTAGCAGCTCCATCAGTATTTAATTTAATCCAATTTTCTTCTGGAGGATTCCAGCTAACGAGAATTTCTGCTTTATAATTGATTAAGTGATGACTAGAGGTAAATTGAAAAGCCATATGGGATTCTTCAGCTGCAGTAAGGACCGTGTTCTTCTTATAATGATGAGAAGAAACAGAATTTCCAAAAACTAAATCATTCCTCCATCTCCAAGCCAACCAAACAGCGGTACCAAACACAATGCACCAAGGAATATTATTTGTATACCTGCCCATACAAGAAACATTTTTTTCCATCCAAACAAATCATTAGTAAAAAAAGAGTTGTCAAAACTGGTTGGAATTAATTCTTCCCAAAGCCTTTTGATAGTCGAGCAATCCCTTAGCAAATGCATAGAGCTCTCGGTTTCATCCAAACAAATTGGGCAGAAAGGATGACCCATATTAAAGGAATTCAATCTTTCCTTTGTTGGTAATTTATTATGAAGAACTTTCCACAAGAATAATCTAATCACTTGAGGACCTTCCCATCTCCAAATCTTTTTCCAAATCGCTGAATTACCATGAAGATTAGTATCATTACCTGCAAGGGTCTGGTAGATGCTTTTGACTGAAATCTGATATGCGTTATTTAAATTCCAACGCAAGTAATCAGCTCCATCCTGTTCATTTGGAGGTAAAATACTTCTAATTAATAACACAACATCAGCAGGAAGCCAATTATCTAGCATTTGTAAATCCTAATTTCCCTGATCATCAATATATTCTTTTAGCCTTTTATTACTTTCCTCCCATGGAATTGGGTCAGCAGTCATGTCCATAAGCCTTTTACCTTCATGAATCCACTTATATTTTCAAAATGAAATATCAATTCCATTCCCAATCTCCCATCTGAGGTGATTTTCTAATTTTTTCCTTATTGAACAGATATACTTCCACAATCTTGAATCTCCATCTTTGCAGCTGAATAAAGCACTCCCTCTTTTCTAACCACTATATTTAGCCCTGAGTAGATGAACCCGGAACTTATCCTGATGAGCAAAAATATCCCAGGCAAGCTTCCCTATAAAATCATCATTCATGTAACTTAACTTTTTCAAACCCAAACCTCCCTCTTCTTTCGGTTTTGTTATTACCTCCCAGCTCATAAGATGCATCTTTTTTTTCTCCTCTGTGTCTCCCCAAGTGAAGCCTCTCTGCAACTTTTCAATTTCACTGCAGATTGATTTTGGGATTTTATCACATTACATTTGAAAGAAGGGAATAGTGGACAGAACAGACTGGGCAAGGGTGATCCTTCCAGCTTGTGAAAGACACTTTGATTGCTAGCCATTCAACTTATTTTGAACCTTTTCAACAATATTAGCATATGCTTCCTTAGATGTTCTACCATGCTTCATCCACACCCCCAAATGTTTCCTTACATTGTGCACCCTCTTAAAGCCACAAGCATTTGTGATCTCAACTGCTACATCATCTGGAGTGTTTCTAGAGAAGAAAATACTAGTCTTCTGTTGATTCACTCTTTGTCCCGAAATTTCACCAAACAAATGTAAACACTTGAGAATAATTTGGATCTGATCCATAGAAGCTTCAGCAAAGAGCATTAGATCATCAGCAAACATCAAATGGGATACATCAGGTCCTCCTTTTCCAGCCTGAATTGGCTTCTAAAGCTTACCTTGAACTGCAGTATTGATAATATGGCTGAGCTTTTCCATTGCAATAACAAACACATAAGGAGAGAGATGATCACCTTGTCGGACTCCTCTTGAAGGTTGAAATTCCTCAGACATCACTCCATTTTAAAGGACATAGAATTTAGCAGTAGAAATTGCAGCCATAATAATACTAATTAATTTTTTTGGAATCTGCATCTCCTGGAAATTTTTTTTAATAAAACCCAAATTTAATCTGTCATAAGCTTTTTCTAAATCCACCTTGATGGCCATAAAAGTCTTCCTCCCTCTCATTCTATGCATTGAATGAATCAACTCCTGCACTGCAATTATATTATCTTGGATATGTCTTCCTGGAACAAAACTTGCTTGGACAGGGGAAATGATTTTATCCATAATACCAAACATCCTTTGAACCACAATCTTACTCAAGACTTTATAAATTACTGGACACAAGGATATGGGCCGAAATTGTGCCATTTGAGAATGATGTTTCTCTTTAGGAATAAGAACAAGTAAAGTGGAGTTAATAGTTGCCACTAGATCCGGATTTTCCCATAAACTGAGAATGTGCTGATACAACTGGTTCTTTATCTTTTCCCAATTCACTTGAAAGAAAGCAGCTGGAAAGCCATCCACTCCTGGAGCTTTATAAGAACCCATATTAAATAGAGCTCTTCTAACTTCCTCCATTGATGGACTTTTACTAAGCATGGTCTTATCCTCATTTGATAAAGAAGGCCATAAGTTTTGAGAGGAAAGCCAGCTTCTATGAGGAACCTCGTCAGAATACAGATTTTGGAAGAAATTGCAGGCATGATTTTTAAGCTCATTTGGATCAGAAATCCAATGATTAGGACCATCTTTGAGTCTCACAATTCTATTGCCATTTCTCCGGATAATTGTATTTAGGTGATAGAATTTAGTGTTTATATTACCATCAACAATCCATTGTTTCTTAGACTTTTGGAACCACAACAACTCTTCTTCTTCCAAGACTTTCTTTAGTTTCTCTTGACAAATATCTTCCATATTCTCAGTCTTCTACTTTCATTACCGGTCTTTTGATTCTGAATATTTTCCAGGTCTTTCAAAAGTTTCTCCTTTTTCCTATTAATATCACCAAACACCCTTTTATTCCACTTTTGAAAAGCAAGCACTAGTCTTTGGAGCATATATGGGATATCAAAATCCTGATCCCAATTATCATTTATGAGGCTAGAAAAAGTATGGTGTTGATGCCAAGCTGCTAAGTAACGGAAAGGCTTTTTACCTTTTGTATCTTTTCTAGCATCCAGATTTAACAGCAAAGGATTATGGTCATATTGGACTCGAGGAAGATGAATAACTTTAGCATCATCAAACTCGAGTCTCCACTGAATATTTGTAACAATCCTATCTAGTCTTTTGTACACTATGTCAAGGTGAGCCCATTTTGGACCTTGCCATGTGAATTTAGACCCTGTGAATCCCAAATCCTCTAATTGACAATCAACAAGAATTTCTTTGAAGAACTAGCATTTTGTATAATTTGGAGGAGATCCCCCTTTCTTTTCTGATGCAACCGCAATTTCATTAAAATCCCCTCCAACCAACCAAGGTTCAGTCATGTTCCTGCTAATTCTCTTCAACCCATCCCACAAATAGGCCCTCCTTGTCTCCCTTGGACTAGCATATACTGTTGTACAAAGAAAATTGTTCCCATTCTTAAAAGTTATTTTTGCGTGAATCATTTGATCAGATTGAGAAACTCATTTGAATCCCACATAAACCAGATTCCACCAGAGAACCCCTGAGCTTCTTCCACATAACAACTATTAAAACCACACTTTTTCATGATCTTTGAACCAGAAGAACTATTGGCTCTAGGTTCTAGTAGACTTATCATGCAAATATGATAATTCTTAACTAGATTTTTCAACACACGACTAAACTCTTTCCCAACAGCTCCTCTCACATTCCAGAAAAGAAATGACATAAATAAATGAAGCATTATTTACAGGGTTATGGAGTACCTGTACCTCCAACTCCATTGGCGAAGATTTGCCATCCAATTCATCTCGCGTCTGCATATCCTGAATAAGATTATCTTGCTCCATATCATCTTGCTTCTGATCAGGTGGCCTTAGTGCCTGCTGGATTTCAATTTTTTGAATAGTTTTGCTCTGCATCAGTTTGTTGGGAGGAATATCTTTTCTCGATAGGATTTGGATTGAAGGGATCTCTTTGGGATAAAACTCTTCCTTATCTGTCTTTGTGGTCTTCTGGTGCACTTTATTCTCAACTTGACTTGAATTGGCAGATGTCTTTTCCTTGTTAATATGCCTTTCTTTTGTAACTCTAGCTTCTTTTTTATTCAAGCTCTTCTCTACACTGGGTCCCTCTTTAGCTCCCCCTACCAATTTGTAATTGGTGCTAGTTTCAACTACCTGAATAGCATTTCTTGTATCTTTCTTCCTCTCCTGTCTAGCCCGAATAGGATGGTTTTTTGTGCTCTACTCATCAGTACTTGCTTCATCATTAATTTCCACACTCAAATTCTCCTCTTTTTCATCTTCTGCACCATTTGAATCATTTTCAAGAGCAGTAAATTTGGATGATTGTCTCCCTGTGGGTTGGTGGAAAAATTGGTTCTCCTTCTTCCCTTTTTGAGCGGAGTCACTATTTCGGTTGAATCTCCTCTGCCTATTCACTAGCATCCAAGGACCATATTTATTTTCCTTTGCATTCTCTCCATTTGTGTAGCTTGTAGCCATACTTGTGACTATTTTCCCTCCTTGTTCCTCCCTAGTTTTGCTTTGGGATGATTCATCATTTTCAGTAGGGCTTTTAATTGAGCACATCTCTGATCTATACCCATATTGGCCACAGGAATAGCACACCAATGGTAATCTTTCATACTTCACCTGCTTCAGTCTACCCTCCAGTTTATACTCAGCACTCAATGGCTTGGTAAGATCTAATTCAACACATATGCGAGCAAATCTACCTCTAGCCAAGGAAGTTGTAGCTGCATCAACCTTGATAAATTTACCCAACCAATTACCAATCCCCTTAATTAGTTCTGTGTTTGCATACTCAATTGGAAATCCCGGAAGCCTCACCCAAGCTGTAATTCGAGCTATAACTGCTTGAAAAGGGTTAAAATCTGGTTCCCAAGATCGAATCGTCAGATAATGATCTAAGATTACCCAAGGACCAACAGTTAAAGCATGTTCCAAATCCTTCTGGCATGAGAAACAAACTAGGAAATAGCCATTCTCCACATCAGTGATAAATACTTGTCCCTCCCTTGCCCACATGTTTTCCAGTCTTTTTTACATGAAAGTCAAAGACAAATTCTTACCTAACAACTTGACATAGATTGTTTTCTTCCATGGTCGCCATGCCTTCTTCTTGAAGTTAGCTGAGAGTTTGAAATTCATACGACCATCATTATCCACTTCCCATGTTACCTCAGGTTGTTTTTCCTTGCTTCCATCTTCCTCTTTTTTCTCTTCCACTTCATCGTGTTCCGATGGTATTTCCTCCTCGTCACTCCACCATTCTCCGTTGTGACGCATTAACATTTCTTTGAACGAGATTCCCTCTCTCATCCACTCCTCTTCTCCCGGTACCATCGTTTGATCTTGACTGAAAGGAGCATCATCTCCCTTATATTTTTTCTTTCTCCTCTGGAGGTTGTCAAATTCCTCCGGTGAGATTTCAGCCTTCTCCGTCGTCGCCATTAATTCTCACAGAAACCCTAGTAGTAAATAAAAGATGATTTTATCTTAATAATACTTTTATCTATCAAATAATTTTTAGTCACATTTTAAAAAAAAAATCATTTTCACAATATATTTTAAGTAATCGTAATTTTCGAATACTAAAAAATTTCTCCTACACACGTGCTGCTTGTGCAATGAATGTCCCAAGGTTCCCCTTGCCATTTTGATGTTACTGTGCGTAGTGCATTGTGTGCACGTGCTGCTGTCTCACCATGAACTAACAAATAAATTTTAGCCGGTTGAATGAATTAAGAAATATATATGGAAAACGATCTATAAAGATAGGAAACAAATATTTCTCCAATTATTGTAAAAGTTTTTATTTGTTATATATAATGTATTTTTTGAAGTATATAAATAAATTTTTTTAAACGAATTCTTTTACACGAGATCCACTTCTTTTTTTGTAGGACCCATTATTTTATTTGTGAGGATGGCAGACAAATTTTCCTGAGACAACTGCAAAAAAGTTAATCAAAAATACGATATCGAATTCGATTATTATGAATTTGTTATTTGGGTTTTATAAAAGTTATGTCGTAGGAAAAGTTATTGTGTTATGTTATAGAGATTCGTTTTGCGTGCCGTAGTTTTTTTCTTCTTCAAAACATGCGGGCTTCACAAAATATTATGTATGTAAGAAATTTTTTATAATCATATTGAATGACAAATGCAAACCTCTTCTTATTTATGCGTAAATAATATTTTCCCTTATTGTGAACTCTGTTCCGCTGAGAAGTTAGATACGTACCCTCCCAGTCCCACATTCTTCGATTGGATATTCTTTGACCCGCAATTTTCTTTAACGGTGTAGACTGTAGACTATAAATATACCTCATAAATGTATATATCTATCTTTTGCCTCGACTAAAGGTGTCCACAATTCGTTAAGAATTAGCCTCGTATTTCATAAGGGTAAGGAGTTTATTGGTGAGCAATCTGTAATTTTTCCAAAAAATTCTCAATAAAATTGGGAATATGTCATACCAATATCTAATCTCATCTAAACTTTTAACGTAAAAAATATATATACTCTTTGCTGGTCTTGCTTGCAAAAGTATTATCAAATTATCTTTATGTATGCCTTTATTGGTTATAGCATGTAGATTTCTGGCTTAGTTTTTTACGTTTCCCAAATTACAAAGTAAATTTAACGTAGTCTGAATTCATTGCGTTCTATAATTTAGAACATACTAAAATTTTCCAACCAATTAATAGATAAGCAGGACAACTAATTAATTGATGTTCCGAGTTGATTTTGGCAATTTTTTTTATTTTTTATTTTTGTCAATAGAAGGATATGTGCAATGGCGCTCAAGTGACCACGAGGTCACGAGTTCGATCCTTACCGCCCTCACTTTCAGGTAGAATTAAGAAAAGCAAATAGACTTATATAGCACAAGGCAAATCAATAATGAACTTGTGTCATATCCACGTTTCAAGTCCAAAGAACTCTTACAAGAGCGAGTGTGCTAAGGAGATATAAAAATAATTAACTTAATCTCACTCAATGCCTTAAAATTTTGGATTGAAATGGCAGTTGTCACATATTCTAACAAAACAGTATGATATATTATTGGGAGCATGTTTCCTGCGCTGATTTGGGCTTTAAAAATGTCCGTCCACAATTCACATGATGCTATGGGCCGATTGGTTCAGCAATTTTTCTTGCAAATACCTTTCGGTAAGTCCTTGGATGATTTAACCCTAAATGTCGACAGAAAAGTTATATTATATAGAATAAATTTTTTGTGTAAGATCATTTAACTTTTTATAATAAAATTGAGTCGTCGTTCTTGAGAATCATATGATTTTCTATTATACTCTGTTAATTGCGGAAATGGATCTTCTCATGTGAAAAAAAATATGATATGGTCATGTGGGAAGATCATAACCATACAAAGGTAAATCAATGGTTATGATTTTGTAACTATCTATTTTAACATTTTTTTTCTCTCCTCTTTTATTATCATTGATCCACCTTTTTATGGTTATATATGATTTACTCGCTCATGATTTATTGACTATTTAAAGAATATCTGATATTTTTTCGGTGGTATTTATCTTTTTATTATCATATTTATATATTGGAAAAACGGAAGAACACGTATACTTTTATAACATTGTAGCATTGTTGTTTAAAAATTTAAGCAACCACATACTTCAAAAACATTGAATGAAAATAAATAATTTATCCTTCCGTAGATATCTACTTGGCTTGTAGAAAAATCTTACTCAAATAAAACATTAATGATATATCGTATATAAAACCTTTTTTTTAATATAATAAAATATTATATCAATCTTTTTTTATGGTCACTTTACTTACTTTTCTCCACACTGTTAGATTACAATCTTACATTCACTGTTAGATTAATTATGATCTAATGAAATTGTAAGAAATATGTTAAAATTGTAATCTCACAAAAAAAGGAGAGAAAATATTTGTCATTTTAAATAACACAATTTTGTATCATTTTACATAAAATAATGTCATTTTGATGCATAATTGATGATTTTTTATCTTATCTCTTTTCTCTTCTTAATTTTAAGGAGAAAAAGAAAGTAAAAAATCATGAATTTTGCATTAAAATAACGATGTTTCATCTAAAATGATACAAAGTTAAATACTTAAATCATTTAAAATGATAAAAAAAATTCCTAAAAAAAAATTGACATAAAAAGATAAATATAATATTCTATTTTTTAATCGGAAAAAGCTACGTCATAACCTGCCAGGTCTATTCTGATTCTCACACGCAATGCCTTTCTTATTGTTCAATTTGTTAACTTCAAATACACATTTGTTCTGTTTTTCTTCACCTTTCTGTATAAGATAAAAACCAATAAACATTTTCCCACTTTTCTCCTAATAATTGTTTTTTTCATGATGCTTTGTCTGTGTTTTCGGGTCTACTTGATGATTACTATTGAATACTGATACCAATCATAAAGCCCATCAATGCACAATCCTGTGAAAGGTCATTATACTAGTCCTATCAAGTTGGGACCATTAACTTAACTGTGCAGCCCTTTTTGGTGTTGCCACTTGCGACCCATTCTTCCTGGCCCCCCCACCCCAAACAATCAAAGCGCACTCCTTAGTAACATAAAAATATACCTTTAATTTGTATATATCTTCAAATAAAGTTGTATGTATTATTAATAATATTTCAACTTTCAACTTTCAACTTCCTCCCCTACTTTTAATTTATACACAAGTGCCAGACATTTTATGTCTACTTTTTCTTTTAGTTCTTTCTGTTGTTTTAACAGTTAACACCCAATGGAATTGTTGCCCTTTTATTAAGACATAGTTTTAGTGTATTTTTTCTTATTACTCATATTTTGTAGTGCAAAGTGGAAAGTGGAAACTGCAGTAGAAAGCGCTGCATGCTGGATGCTCCTGTAGTCCTAGATTCCGCTTAGTTCTGACAATAAATTATAAAAGGTAAACTGAAGTTTATTTTTGACTCTCCTCCCCTGTCAGGATTTAAAATTAAAGTATTTAACAAAGGGGCGTTTTATTAAAGGGTTTAATGTATTTTCAGGGAGATAATTTATCTTTAATGAGCTCAAAGTTATGTCGTTTTGAGGTTAAATAAAATGTATTTTTATAGTTCCAATTTATTTTAGGGTTATATTAATCTTTATCATCAATTTTTTTTAATTTTTTAACTTTAAAATGACATCGTTTTGAACTCATTGAAGATAATTTTATTTTCGACGAATGAAGAAATATTAAACTCTTTATTAAAAATAGTATTTTTATAATAATTCTTTAGTAATTCTTTTGAAAAGTTACTAAAAATATTAAAGTTGATTCTTTTATTAAAAAATTATTCAATTATTAAAAAATCTGTAGATATATCTTTAATTAAAAAAAAATACCGTTTTTCAATAAAAGATTAAACAAAGGGAAAAACTACTCTTATGCAACATAAGAGTAGTTTATCTTCAATAGACTCATAAAAAATCATGACACTTTTTTTTTTTTTTATAAATTATGAGTCCCACCACACATGTATCTATAACATGAGAGAAGATCTCTAATGTAATATGAGATTAGATTAACTCTTAAACAAATGATCTCAATATCTTAATTCTGTTGACGACTGGATGAGTCAACAGTTCATTACATTGTTACATTGGTTGAATTGCAGTTGCATGCATGCTGTGAACTGTGCAATGAGGGGAGAGTATAATACACTGACACTGAAAATGAATAATCGCATGTGCTCTGCACGTGATTCCTCGAAAGTGCACGTACTCTTACTCCTTTTCCTGTAATTTTGCCCCCTGGCAGCAGTAAGCTATTTTTGGTTTTGGAAAATGGATTGGCCTACTACTTAAAGGGGGGGCGGGGGAAATGTACATTTTTAATAATAAAGTATAAAATTATAATTGTTAATAAAAAATATTTTATAATCTTATAATTTGTTATACATATATCCATATTTTATTATGATTTTGACTGTTATATATTTAAATTAACATTTACAAGTTCTTCACCTTTTGGGTAATGGATTAAA